TATCTTCTTTAAAAATATGAAGGTGCCTGGAGTATTTACTCTTTTGTAATGTAACTTCCATGTCCTGTTATAAATATTAGTTAACTACTAGTTCGTGGACCAGTTTGGAAAGCTTGACTCATGTAAATTGTGACAGTTGTGCTTCGTGATTTGCTTATTGTGTGACTAATTAATTTGATGTGATTTGCTCATTGCAGGACTAATTTGATGGAACTTCGTTCTGATTACAAGGATGCATTTGTTGAAAAACATGGAGTGAAGCTGGGACTTGCGTCTGGATTTGTGAAAGTTTGTTATCCCGTAATCCCGTTTCAACATTTTCCTTTGTATTTGTGCATCAGTTCTTACTAATTAACTCTCTTCATCAATGAATTCAGGCCGCTGTGAGTGCTCTCCAGAATCAGCCAATAGTTAATGTCGTTATTGACGGTGATGATATCATTTATAGAGACTACGTAGATATCAGCATAGCTGTTGGTAACCCGAAGGCAAGATATATACTTCATTTCACTTTCTTTACAAGAAATCTTTATAGAGGGAACTAAATGGTAAAGATTTTTCAATATATTTTCATGGAGGGAGCTAAATGGTAAAGATATTTCGATATATTTTCATCCTTCTGGTTCTCGTGGAAGTGGAGAAAAGGTTAACTCGTATTCTAAAAGAGCTAGTATCAGATGTTTAACTTACGATATAACCAATATATGTTTGAAGCAAAATGTTATTTACTTGAGATTTTGTAAGTTTCTGATTGAATTGGCATCACAAATAACGTAATGGAAAATGAACAAGTTACTGCTGCACACATTTAATAAAACTGGCTTACGATAGTCGGCTTATCTGTTAGTAGCCTACTAAAAACCCGACATACATACATTCCTTTCAATCTCCTGAGAATCTATTATGTTAGTACAAAAAAGGAAGATATAGTTGTATATTGTGGAAATACAATAATGTCTGGTCCTTCTAAACTAACTTATAAGTTCCATTGGTTAATAAAACGTCCTTTTTTTCTGATAACTTGAGTTGGTGACATTTATCGGCCATTCATAAATTGTGATTGTTTATACTATATTTGTTATTGTTGCTGGTGATTAGTAGGTTTTGGGTTGCAGAGTTATTCATTCATGGGTTTCAAGTGCCCTTAGTGGTATTGGGAAACAAGCTCATCATCAGAGGTTTGTAGAGGTTGGCTCAATTCTTAATGTTCTTGCTTAAGGAAGAGAAGAAAGCTACTGAAGAACGTGCTATAGCCGTGAAAGCATCTGGAAATAAGAAAGAGAGTAGTTTATGTGCTCCGTTTATGATCGAGTTTTTCCCTTACCATTTTATTTCATTTTGAAGCTCATTTTTATTTAAGTGGTGTTGTATCACATTCTAATTTTCAAGTGTATGGATTCAAAAATTTGTAATGAAATTATCAATTTTTATGCAATTCCAAAATTTGTTCATAAGTTGCATTTTCAATTTTGCCAATCTATTTGCATAAATTGTTGTTGTTTAAAAAAAAAAAAAAACCACCCTACGACAACGTTTGGCAAAGGTTACCATATCTATCAATGGCAATGTTTGTCAAACGTTGCGAAAGACTGTCTTTCTCAACATTTGTCAAACGTTGCGAAAGACTGTCTTTCGCAACATTTGTCAAACGTTGCCGTATCTCTACGGCAACGTTTTTTAAACGTTGTCGTATCTCTTTACTCTACGACAATACCTCGATTTGCAACACATGTCCAAACGTTGCCGTAGGCCTATGACAACGTTTTTTGAAAGTTGCCGTATGCTGTTTTTGTTGTAGTGATGCCGCTAGGTGCCTGACCAACCACCAATGTGGATTTTGACATTCTTTGACTATAAATTATCTAATAAAGATGTTGACAAATTTCCCATATAAAATCGTACAAAACGGACATGAAAAGAACAAAAATTTCCTTAACATACATACATAAGAGATATTGGCCCACTCTGAAGTCTAAAGAGGCTAAAAATATATGCGAACTCAAAATGAGGTGAAAGCACTCATATGGGAGAAACCTCATGAACACCCTTAAATACTTGATGCGGCCAATATATTTGAACAAAAAATGTAAGGATTAAGCTGTTGAATAAAACGTGAGCAAATAACACAATTAGCTAGAAGTCATATAATCAAAGGTTGCTATACGTCACTAACTAAAAAGACCCATTTATCCACAGGGCCCAATGGAATAGTGAGTTTAGGAGGGGAAAACTCTGTCTAAGTTAGGAATTTTTAGATCATCATTTAGATGTCAAATATTATATTTCTTGTGGAGTGTTTATATCAATCCGGATACTCTAATTTCCCAACATGTTGTGTGCATTGGTTCCTCATTTCGAATTTTTGACTTTCGGAAGTGTAATCCTTCACTTCAACTCTTCATTACCACTCCAAAATACATTTTATCTTCTCGTTGTTATCTTCTTACTCATCAACGGACTTCAATCCTCGGACTTTGCACTAAAATATCAAAAACAAGATAAAATCAGGACAAAAGCAATCCGAAACACTAACATACATATAGTATGAGAGCTGCAAATAGTGTAAATATTACACTAATCATTAACTAATATATAAGTCAACCAGTGATTTATAAACATTAAAACTTTAATACAAAATAAACAATTGGGATTCATTTATTTGTTTATATTAATTTTTCAAAATACTAATCTCTTACACCAAGCAAACATAATTTTCTTCCCTCATTTAGAATACAAAATTTGGAAAAATAATGTAAATGAAAAATATAATGGTCAGAAATTTGTTAACTTTAATCGGACTAGAAATTAACATACAGCTATTCATGTAACGGGGTTTCAAAATTCACATTAAATTCAATATTTCAAAAGAAGCATGCTCCTTCATGACACTATAAATTGAACATGTTTCTGCTCTGCAATATACAAATTAATCTGCCTACATTAAATGGTGAAGACTCCAAGAATTTGTTCCCTCTTATTTGCTCGTCTTGTAATCATTTCGTGTTCATGGGCAGTTTCTTCTGATGGACACGATGATTTTCTTGAATGCATGTCCCTTCATTCTTCCATTAGTCATCATTACTCCCGTGCAAGATGTTACCAAAAATACAAACGTGCAAAAATTATATTCTAATAACATATATACCTTTTATGTGCGTGAAATCGAATAGAATTTCAACTTACCGAATACGTAAAGAATCAACAAGAAATGTAAGAAAATGAATAGGTCGAGACAAGAGTTAAACTCTTTCTCTTTAAGACAAATTTGCCCCCGCATCGGTGATAAGGTTTTCCGGTAATCATCTCTCAAGATATAACGACCACATCTCGCAATAGGATCACTCCAAATTACGTAGACCAACAAACTCGAAACATAATTTTCTCACTACCAAAACCATAATTTTGATGCAAGAAAACCACTTTAATAAAGTGTTTTGATGCAGAACAAACAATGAATATGATGTGAAATAAATATTGATTTCCAAGGGGGTCCTATTGATAGAAGATGGAGTTGTGGATGAAGAGACACACCCCAAGCTCAACATGTTTTCGTGAATGGATGCAGCCATTCAAGCCTCTCGCTACCCACCCGGTTCTAAGCTCAAGTGTCCAAAACAGGAACATCGTCGGTCGCTACGCGCGAGGCCGCTGCTCATGGGAAAATTAAATTCTTCACTTTTATGTTATTTGTACTTCATTAATATTTTTTGAGGTGTGGAAGACATGTGCCATCCATCCCTGTTATTGTTGTCACTAAGTCACTAAAAGAGGCTAAAATGAATATTCTTATAAGGGCAAAACAATCTTTCCATACTTATCTACCCCACTCATTGATGCCGGACAGAATAGTGATTATTCTGCAGGCTGATTTCAGCAGATAATTCACAAGGAAGAACACGAAAAAATGCAAAAAAAAATCTTTATTATTTCATTCACCATTCAAAAGCGCACAAGTCGGGCTATATAGCTAGAAAATCGTAATTATCGGAATTTTACCAAAAATATCAAAATCTCAATAGTCATACCAAAAGAAAGTATGTAATAAAAGAAATAATATCCCAAAAATCTAGCTCAAATTGAGTTCATAATCTATTTTAAAAAGGCAAACGAAATATTACCAAAAAAGGAAAAAAATAACTAAAATTGGGGATTTGGAAGGGAAAACGACCGATTTTACCCTCAAAATTGATGTGCACTAAGCAAAACTCCTTACCACGATGTGCGCGCTGAAAAAGAGCTTTTTAAATTGGGGTCATGAGCCCAATTTTGATAATCGTAGCCAAAGTTATGGCCAAAATACCAAAACGTGTCCAAAAACTGTCCCAATTAAGAAAAGTCATCGATTACTTGTCATTTTTGTGCTGATTCGCCAACTTATGGTACCTCAGAGCCATCAATGAGCTATCGGACAACTCGGCATCATCTGACTCGGATTCTCCTGCATTACCCACTCCCTTCATCCTCTTCCCCAATCCCCACACCCATGCCACCCCACCCGAAAGTGAAATTCTACAGGTTGCAGACTTCACGAAATGGCTGAATCTTCCAGTCCTTCTCCTTATAAAATGGAACCTACTGCAATGTTGACTAGAAAGCTTGACGACCAGGAAAAAATCCCATGTCTCTTCCTTGCGCACCACCATTCAAGCAGAAGCAGAGATGTTATCTTATTTTTTGTCAGTGGATAGGGCGGCATTTCTCAAGCTTCCATCTTTTGTGAAACACGATGTTTCTTTTGGTCCATGGATAGGGTGGCAAAAAAGAAGGTGCTATCTCAGAGAGATCAATAATATGATACAAAATAGATAAAGGAGGAGCTGAATGCAAAGACTTTGACTGAGAAACCTTTCTAAAACAACAAGCTATCATCAATGGCAAACCTCTTCTCATGCTCATTGTTTGGCTGTACATCAACCATTGGTTCTCTTATTTCCATGGTGTCATTGGTCTTAATGGATGCAGGGTGACTGTTTGTAGACATGGGTTCAGATCCATACTTACAATTTTGGAACTAGTAAGTCTTTGCTTGGATGAGGAAAACTAAGATTCAAGTTACGAATTCTTTCATGTAGAGGCTCCTTAATAGAAGCATCAACCTACAGAATCCAAAGGGCAGGGCCGGACCTATTTTTTCGGGGCCTAAGGTGAACTTCAGAATTTGGGCTCCTAAGTCATAGCAGTCCATTATCACTCTAAACCTAAAAATCCATTCTTTGTCAAAGGTAATTGTTTTTATATTGCCAAAGCGATTCAGAACCATTCACAACAATTGAATAATTGCCAAACAAAGTAAAACCAGCAATATTTTAGATTTAACCTAAATTTAATTTACTTGATTAACGGTTTAATCACAAAATCAAAATGAATGTAAAGAATTCAATCATTTAGAATATTTATGTCATTTTTGTATACCAATTATTATGGTCTAAGCTCAGTTCATTTTTAAGTTTAAACATATGCAGTATGCCCAATGAGTAGAAAAAAACAGAACGAAAAGTAAAAGCAAAACCTAACACTACACATATTAAACTCCATTTATGAAATG